GGATTTATTATAATAACCGCATCACCAATTTATTGTCTTTTTAATAATAATGTTACTAAACACGACGAAAATGTACTCATTTTGCAATAATAAACCGGATGTGTTTTAATAATCATACCGCTTGTAAGATCTGTACTAGTAATTATTTTTTCTGTTGTCAACAGATGGCGACACAAGTTAGGAAATTATAATTATACACAATATACTTCTATTATATTGTTTCCTTATGTTGGTAAAACTGGATATTACGGGCCAGTTTGGCGCATTCTGGAAAAAATCGCCAGTTCGCCAAAGGGTTATTTTCTCGCATTTTAGGTAATCGCTTGAATGAATTCTGTAAACAAAAAAGAATTCATATCTAAAACAGAAGTTTGAGAAAAACAAAGAAAATGTATTTGAAAGTTAATAAATATGTATTTTATAAGATCAACAATATTAAGACTTTTCATAATATCATATACTATTTTTAAGACAGTAGCAAAAGGGTGTGAAAAGTTTTATCACAAAATTTAAGAAACTATAATGAGCAATAAATAATAGGAAAAAATTGATTGATATATGAGGTAAAACTTAAAAAAAAAATGCTTTAAACAAACGATAAACGAAACTGAGATAAAATTCAAAATTTCAATCGACTGAAACACGAGCCATAGTCTAGTTAAAAAAAAAAAGTGGTTAAACAATTTTAACTACGCAACTGATATTTTTAAAATAAATGTTTATTTTTAAGAAACAGTAGAAAGCCACATTTGTTTATATCTGTACTAAAATGTAACAATACAATGAAGATAAAATTCAAAAAAATGGCACGCGCATTTTAACCACATGCTTAATCACATATAATGTGTTTGCATCTAATGAGAATTTCTTTTATTGTGATTTATATTTAAATCAAAATCTGTACTAAGTAATTTCTGTATTTCAATTTCAACTATATTAATCAATTATCCATAATAAATGCACGGATAATAACGGATAATAATTATCCGTGCATTTTGGACGGCACAAATATATTACTCGTAGTTGAAGCATCAGACTGTTAGGTATTCTTGCCTCGGAAAAGCAAGAGCTCTTTCTCACACTCTTTTTGACCTCGTGCTTGGAAGGACCGGACTCACAACACCTCCATTCACACACTCGCATCTTTCCTTTCAACTAATTTCATACTATTTTTACACTTAGGACATTCGTACACATTCGAAATCAAACCATAATTCATGCACTATTCTATCACACATCTGGTGTATTACCAGCACCTCAAATAACCTACCTGGTTAAGGGAACCAACGCGCGTAAAACCATAAATAGTAAAATGACGAACATCCAAAAGGCCCGATTAAATAATACAAATTGTAACTCTAAACCCTAACGATTTTCATTACTCCAAAAAAATAGGGGTTGCCAGATTTGCCGCAATTTCGCTCAACTTGGCGATTGGCCCGTAATCTCCAGTCTACTTATTTTATGCTTTAGACCTTTACTCTCACTTCTTCTTTCCACTTCAAAGTCAGAAGGCAAATTAACTCGCGTGTATTTAAACTGAATTTTTTAGATTGTAAGACAGAGCGTGTTCTGCCTCTCGAAGCCACGTTATTAAGCTGCTACTAGCTCAGATAAGATCTGTAGTCTTCGCCTTTGTATTATAATTGGCGATATTTGAAAATCTACGCCGGTTAGGTTTGTGAACCAATTTCACGTTAAACTGAATTGTGTAGCCTCGGCTACTAGTTACTTGAATTTAAATTTATACTTGATTGTTAAGTTATCTTATACATAAGTGCTGGCTAAGCTGTAAGCACCAGATGTGCCTTCTGTTCTTAGTTTTAGATAAAAGGGTCTTTTACACCCTTCTCAAGTTTCAGTTGTTATTTTAAACTTAGCGATAATTCGCTGTCAGTCTATCTTAACTTTGGTTACAATTTATGATAGCCAACAAGATACCGAACTTTATAATATGATTTAAAAAGTGTATTAAAAATTAATCAGATGTCATAAAATTGTAAAATACACAAAGAGCAGTTTCTGCTTATTTAGTTTACATGAAATATCTATCCAGTGTATATATGTATGCTTCTTGCATTGTCGAAAAACGACAGTACTTGCAGTAACGTAGTCCTGTACCCAAACATGAGTACCTGTAAGCCCGAATTTTGAATTTCGAATTTTATATTTCATATTTTATGCAACTTTAGTGAAGTTTTGATTAACACACTCAACAATTTGAAAACGAGTACTGGCAAAACTGCGGAATGAAAAAGGATCTCCAGCCCATGAGACTGTATAGCAAAATTTCTAAAGGTATGCTGTTTTTAAATACTTTGTAATTTGCTTTCGAATATTACGTGGTGTAAGTGCGAAGAAAATTATATTTAATGAATAAATTCACTAAATGTTAATAAGAAAAAGTTAAAAAAAGTTTTGCAAGCCATCTTACTTCCAAAACTGAACATTGACATGATAAATTGAAAAAAAGACTTAAAAAAATAGAAAAATGTATGCCGACATTTAACACTGCATCGGGAATTCTAAACATAGGCTGCTATGCTTTTCAAAATTTTTGTAATTTTGATGTTGAATGGTATTTGGCGCAAGTGCGGAGAAAGGAATGCTTAATAATAAAGCTAAAAGGATTAAAAGAGATGGGTTAGCAGGAGCTTTTTTTTAAATCAAAATTTTCATTGATCAGTTGTAAGGTTTTAAGTTAAACTAACCAAATTTCTTTTTATTTTAAGTTACCCTTTCCTGTAAACTCTTATTTCAACTTCCCTTCAGAATGAGCACGCGGTTCAGCTTTATGCTAATTTGTGTTGGAGCCAAGTTTTGTATTTAAAGGTTAGTGAGAAACTTCTCAAGTGTGAGAGAGCTTTTAGTGTCAGACCACGTCGGCTCGGTGGACGTTCGCCAGATTAGTTAGTATTTAAATTTTTTACGCCTTAGAGCCTATTACTCTAATACTGATTGAAGTGATTTAAGTGCGTTAGTACTTAGCAAAGGCTTGCCTACGCACCATAAATAGGCCAATCTCGCGTTTAACGCTCTGTGGAACAGCGACTATTTAAAATGTCTACTGAAGCTTTACTTTAAATTGTTTGATTGTTCAGTTCAGACCCAAGCGCGATCATTATTTTTCTGTTATCACTCCCGAGCTGGGAGTTGCTGTAAATAGTGATTTAAATAAAAGGGTCTTTTACACCCTCCTGACGTTGTAGTTCTTCTAGCACTCACAAGAACATAGCTGCCTTCAGCTCACTGTTCGAGATCAGGACCATTATGTTTGCCAAAAGTATGCACAGAACACTAAGTCCTGACACAGTTTCTCTCCAATACTGTCGCCTAATAATCAGGACTTAGCGGTTGAAGATTTTTCAGCACATTTCCAATCCTTCCACCACCCAGCATCGTGCAACGGCCCATCGGTTGCGAAGCATTGTAAAAGAGATTAGTTTTCAGTTTCAAGATATGACCGAATGATCAGTTGCTTTGCAGCAGACCTTTTATTAATTAATTAATAGGATTTTGTTGTAGGTTACCTTACTGTATGTAATACAGTTTTCAAGCATTATTTTAATACTCCTTTTTGTGGAATCTTTCATCTATATTTGAACTTTCTGCTAACGGACACTCACGGAAGTAAGGATTTTGTCATCAACGGGGAGTTACCTTCAAACAAAGGAGGCCAATGGTCTCCTATTTTGTAGGTCCATGAAATGAGAAAATGTCCATTTATTTGGAGTATCAGCTAAAGTTAAGTATTCGTTAACATAGGTTTGGCAGCATTAAAAAAATCCAAAACCGAAAAGATGTTACGTAATCCAAAAAAAAAAAAAAAAAAAAAAACTTCGGCTCCAAAGACAAAAAAAACAGGCGGTGGCGTATGCAACTGAATACTGTGAATTCGATGTTGTTTGACTGAACAAAATATTTGATCAAATATTAAATGTACTCGATTCTTAAGTTAATCCGGCTTCGTGCTTAACGAAGTGGCGATAAAAATAATACAAGAAGTGCTTCATGTGCGAAGATCGTACTTTCAAATCATGTTTTCAAGTGATCTTTGTACCTAAAGTTCAAAGAAAAATTAATAATGATAATAAGGATGTCTGAAATAGAAAACGATGTCTTTGACACTTTTCAAATTCTTTGTGAAGATATTTGGAGTCTGAAATTACTATCATCGAAATGAACGCGGGATGTAAATTTACACATTTATTTCAGTAAATTTTAAACACTCTATCTCTATGTTTTGTGAATGATATGTCTTTCATTTATACATTTTAGTTGGAGTTCTTCAAACTGATAGAGTACATAATCTTAGTGTTACTTCATATTATTTTATATATATTGCTCGATTTATCTCGATGGAAGAAATAATCGGTAGTCTCGAACTACTCATCAAATCCAGATTCGATAATTATTTATATTCTGGAAGTCTGAAGAAATTAAAGATGCCCTAAGCTTTGCCCTAAGCCTCCTTTCTTTCTCTTTTTCTGACGACATTTCATCCTCAATCGTCTTTCATCACTGTTTCTGAAGCTGTTGTAATTCTTTCTTGTTGAGCTCGTTTATAATGGTCCACCAGTTACTTCACGTCTTTATTGCTAACTTCCTAGACCACAGTTCTGTCTATAGACACACAATCATAGATATCAAAAAACGGCCTAAGTGTTAAAGCGCTCAAAGTCTATGCCTGAAACACTATCTAGACATAATTTCACCCAAGCTGAATTCAGGGTCTTGAAAGTCATTTGCTACCAAACTTTGTTAATGAGAATTAAGCAATGGAAGCCATTAAATTTATGTTTAGAAAAATCTTTAAGTGTTAATTATGTAGTTCGTTATATGAGGCTTTTTATTGTTCAGATAGTTTGTTCGATAGTCGAATTATGCGTGAAGTGAGGCGTTAGGTATCTGAGGTTCCACAGGATATCACACTTTTATAAATACATTTCTGGTTTCGGACAGCATATGAAGTTAAGTAATTAACAGCGAATAATACTTACGACCAAAATAGACTCCAGCGGCAGCTCCAAGAGATACAAAAAGTATAGCGAGGATGACACATGCACATGCTGTTGGAGTGCAGCCTTCTTTGTGGGAGAACTTAATTTGATGACTGTCACCGCTTTCACTTGGAGTACCACAACTGCTGCTGTTCGTGATTGCGCTGAATGGAACGGACCTCTGCTGTAACGCATCCATGCTTAGGCCCCTGTAAAAAAATCGACTTGTTAGCACTAAAATCTGTTTTGAATCTATTGATTAATTTTCATTGCTTTTAAATCAGCCTTCATATTAATCACTGTGTCTGTACCCACAACTCTATAATATAGGCCCAATCAGAAAAATATACAAACAATTTAACAAAAGAAAATTAGTACAGTATTAATTATAAGTTTATATAATGATACATATCATAAATTAGAGAGTTCCACCTGTCTTTACAGTAGCTGTTTACTAGAATGCTCAAAGGGTCCGAGTAGTGGCCATTAGCTGTCAGATATATAACAGAATGGCAAGCAGTTGTTTGAATAACGTTGGTCAATATGTCCGCTGAAATAGCTGCACATACCACTGTAATTTCATGAAAAGGACCTCCGGCATAACCGATTTCCTGCGATACACGACGTCCTTCAAACTTCCTTAAGGCCATTTTGGTTTACTATCATACATCATAAATCATATATAACAGTCATGAGAATAACGACATGTCTTGAGCAAATATCATACTACGTATTCCAAACATAATTCATCTTTGAAACCACTCCTTAGATAGCATCTGTTAAAGGGTGTACACACTTTTTTGGAAGGATTCTGTAGAAACGTACGGACGATTTACAGCGATTATTAAAATTATTTTAACCCTTTCCGGCACGCTACCTTTTAAAATCGGAATTTTGATAAAAAAAAAAAGTAGGCAGTCTAATTAGGCCTAGAGGATTTAAATTTTGTGGACATGCCGCTGTAATTTCGCGAAAAGTTTTTTTCATGAAATTCTAAGTAAAGGACATTTGGACAAGTAAAATTTTGTGAAGATAGCATTATCGTTTTAATTCTGTGGGTGTGCCCAAAGTGAGCACACTGATTGAATAGAGCTTCGAAAAGGGTGCTGAAACGAGCATTGCTGTCAATGAACTGACCGATGAGATGCGGAGAAACGAAGAATACAGACTTCCTAGATTATCGGTCCTTGATTATCGGAAACTTGTCCTAGATTATCGGTGAGCTTGGTCTGGGCACACCTAGGGTTCGCCGTTTGATTTTAGGCAAGATTTCAAGGTAAAACTTAAAACTATAAAAAAGATAGCATAAAAAACAGCCAAGAGATTCTTTTCAAAACCTTACCTTAAAATGAAAAATGAGGGTCTTAAAAAACTAAACATGGCTAAATTGGAGCTGCCATCTACTAAAATAAAGAAGAAGGTTCAAAGTAACTATGTAACCAATCCATTTCATTCAATTGTTTTGTGCGTACAGAGGAAATTTTAGGTGTGTCCATGAAGAAAACAGTTTTTAATCTTAAATGAAAAGAAAACTTCATACTAAGCATCTTGTTTTTCATGAATTAATCATTTAGTTTATAAAAAAGATAAATAAAGCATTGTCTAAACCACCGTAAACACAATCAATGATTTTCTACAAATGGAATAAAACATTTTGCAAGAAATAAAGAATATTACTTTATTTTGATATTCTAAAAAGATCTAGATAAATAGATTTCAAATGTCAGTTTTATCTAGTTATAAATTAGTATGAACTTAAAGAGAATTTTAAAAAGATTATATATGCAATATCTCTTTTCACTTCGATTAATTTTAATGTTTTCAGCTTCAGAAGGCAAATATTTTTATTTACCTATAAATTTTTGCATTTCGAAATGCTAATTGATATTTCGATCTTAAATATAGTACGGTAATGGACAAAGATTTAGAATTCTAAGAATTCATATAGTATGAAAAGCAATAACATACGTTTCACAAAACTATAAATATAGGATTTCCGATACATTTAAAATGCAGTTTAATATTAGTCTTGTGTATAATTTGAGTTTTAAGGGCACGCATTTCAGTAAGAAAACTTTAAACTAGTTTAACTACACTCCTTTTTACAATTTTTCTGTGGACTGCAAAGCTGACAGCTTGCATAAAAGATCGCATTGAAATTACGAAAAAGCTGTTTCGACAATATACATGCGTTACGTTATAGGACACAACAGGATTTTCGTTCTGTTTTGCTTTTCACCTTTGATTTAATTTTATTCATTAGCACAAACTTGGTGCCTGTAGATGGAGATCATATTTTATACCAAGTAGTAAAAGAAATATTGAAGACAACACAAAAACTTTATTTGATTTTAAAGTAAAATTAGATTAGATTGTGCTCTAAAATCCGACCTTAAGAGTTTGAGTATAAACGAAAAATAGTTGAACTTCTGAAACGTTTAACGACTTTAAACAATGTTCGAGTGTTTGTCTTAAGTGAATTAAACATAGATTAATCGTAGATTTCCTTACGTAATTGACGTAATTAGCTACAAGCTCACAATGCTGACGAATTTAACTAGAATTTAACAGCGCGTTGTAAATAATCTCAGAAATTTTGTATCATTTAAAATTCCATTACAGCTGAAACTAATGAACAGATTATAAAATTTATTTTACTACTTATAGAAAGCAGAAAATGATATAAAAAGGTCTAATTTCAATGATAATGGTGTAATTGCAATGGCATAAATAATGAGCAAATTTCAGGATATATCATGCTTTATAGTCGTGGTTGTCCACGGCAAGGCTACGAAAATGCTATTTTTATTACTGATTGTGACTTTTAAATGCTTATGTATTTTTGCGCTTTCTTCCGATAGTGTACAGTAAATGAGCATAAAACTTCTGAAATCGAGTAGCTAAAACTGAAAATTTAGTGCTTTGAATGAGGGCCTATAATGTTCTAATTAACTTACATTTTAAAGGCAACAGCACTGGCCATAGTGGTTTCTATGCTAGCTGCCGTATCGTCGGGACCGGCTTTGACGGCTTGGATGTTTGTAAGTGTATAGTGTCTGCGCGGCATATGGGGACTTAAAATACTGGTGTGTCGAAAGTTTTCTCGAGGGATCTGGTTGTAGGGCAAGAGGCGTGGGAGACCATCGGATCCGTCCTCCGAGGTATCCTCCATCAAAATTGGGACAGAACTTCTCCGTTCTCGCTGATGTAAAATCGATCTCTCGCTGTGGTGTACCTTGACCAACGCTATGACCGACAAATGCGTGAAGTTGCAAGATTCCGGCCATTTGAAACAAAATATATGTTAAGGGCATAAATATTTTATGGAAAAATATTCTCAAAACGGTAGGTTAAATTTCGGCTAAACCAAATATAAATATTACTCAGGCCATGACACCAATACACATCTAAACATTTTGCTTAAGTGTATAGAAGAACACAAAGTATATAATTTATCTAACTTTTTATTCAGTTTGTTCCGTTTCTTAGTGTCTTTTTAGGGAAGAGGAAAAAAATGGTTGATGAAAATCTAGACAGTAATTTTTTAAAATGTATTAAGCTTCCTGTAAGCCAGAAAAATGATTATATGTACAGTCAATCATATTATAATTAGGTAATCAATTGGACAAGATAAATCTTTGGAAAATCGTAATACTTCCTTATTTCCCAGGGATCTATAATTAAACCATATTAGAAAGAAATAATGTTTCTCTATTTGGAGGGAACAATAGTATAATAAACTGAACGTGGTTTCAGCAATAGGGCATATATTAGATGTCAGCAATGCTATGTACCAAATTATATCTAAATACATGTTATACACATTGCAGTTATCTCAAATACTGTTAAAAGTAACTGCTGATAGACATAAAATTAGTTTGACAATACAGTATTGGAATATGTCAAAAATATTAAAAGTCTATCAGGGCTCACTATTCAGCTGCACAGCATGGCTTTATATATCATTTTAATCCAAAATAATAATAAAAAATATTGCAGCGCTTATGATTGGGTTTTGTCATAACTATATTTTTCTTTGAGAAGTAATAATTAAGCTGAGATAAAAGTCATGTGGTGAAACATAAAGAAAAGAATGGTTAGTGGAATAACTCTTTCTTCTACAGACACAGCTTCCAATGAAAGATGGAGCCCAATCGGCATTCTGATTTCGAAATGATCCGCCACTGAAGTTTCCCTAATGCAGAAACAAATGTGACGGCTGCCTCTCACAATGCCATGGCGACGTGTCCAGTGAAAGCTGCTGTCAACGGCTCACGAGGACAATAAAGACTTGTAAACGTACGATCAGATGTGGCTATATTTATGTATTATGCATGAAGAGGAGGGCAGCTATTGAATCCTCACGTGCCAGACATTAGTAACAGCTGCCCTTTTCAACCATCGGGATACAAGCTGCACTCAAAACACAGCCTGTCAGCAACAGGGGCTATCTGCTTAGCATTCTGTCGACTTCTGCCCCTGCAAGGATTGGTGATGACGTTCCATACAAAAACGAAATGTCAAAGGTGTTATATTAAAGAAAACTTTACCAAACCTTCAAATATTTTCGTACGGTTTTGATAGCTCATATTAATTAATGCAAAGCTGAATATTTGCAGAAGGTTTACACATTATTGGACCTCGGGCTAAAAACTAGAAGGCATAATTCATTTTTAGGAGATTTTATTTTGAATTATTGAACTGCATATTATTTAAAGTGATATGGAGTGTATTAGAATAGCGAATGATTATTTGAGGTTCAGACTTGGTGCGTGAAGGTGCAGTTGCCCCTCTCTCCCTATTTTTTGACTTCGCTGATTTCCTTTGCGTTTTAGTCTATGTGTTAATTGTTTGATCAGATAGCCTGGCTCAGTAAAAGTAGGCGGCCAGTGTAACTCTGATTCAAAATCTGGTTACAACCACGTGCAGTGCTGATAGCGACCACGTGTTTCTGGGACACCTTTACCAATGCTTTATTTTTCTTCTTTTTCCCCCTTTCTAGTAATTTCGTTCTCCTGATGAGGAGGGACCTTTAGCTGTCCTCGAAATCGATTGAGTGTTTTAATATATGTACGCCAAATACAAGGTTGTTATTGCGATTTTGATTGTCACATTGGCGTGTTTCTTTTCTATTCTAGCGAATGATTGTTCGTTAATCAATTTTTCAGCAAAACAATTTCATAACTCCTACATTCTGTGTAACGGAGTG